AATCCTATTACATATGAGCAAAGGATCCTATATCTTCAACAAATGCTAATAAGCACATAAAAAAGTATACAACACCTTTAGCCAACAAAAATATGCAAAGCAAAGCCACGGTGAGATACCATTTCATACATAGTAGAATGGCTTTAGATCACCCAGTAACAACTAGGGCAAAGAAGATCAGGTAGAATAGACAGTAACAAGCGCTGGTGAGGAGATAGAGAAAGTGGAATTCACAAGTGCTGGTTTGGTTATACATGGCATTACTACCCAGCCAGGTGAATACTGCTGAGTATAAACCATGTACTCACATAAAACCTTGCATAGAGATATCCAAAGAAGCATTGATAGGAGCCAAAATTCTAAGACAAATTAAATGTCTACCCACTGATAAATAGTACATTTATACTGGATATCATTTAGCAAAAAAAAAGCAGCTAAATATTTACATGTGCTTATATCATGAGTAGACCTTAAAATGAAAGCCAACCATAAAAGACTGTATACTATATATTCTATTATAGGAAATGCCTAGGATAGGTAAATGGGCAGAAAGCAGATGAGTTACATCTAGGAACTGGTGGTAATAGCTGTTATCTTTTAGCATGTTCAACTAAAAATTATTAAACTATATACCTTAAATTTTAAGTGGGTAAACTGTATGGTTCCCAAGTATGAAAGTATATGATAAGTTACATATTATATAACTTATATATTATATAAATTGTATAAAGTATGAAGTATATTGTAAGTTTATGAGTTGAATTTAATGATGAAACTGAATGACAGGCAGTTTCTGTTCTTGCCATCAGTCTGCACGGAGTGACTAATATTTTAGCTCCTTCAGATCTTGCCACATCCTTATTGTTCAGGAAAACTTACTGATCTCCATTTCAGTAATTAGGAAACTGGAGTACAAAGTGATTAGTTAATTTCCCTGAAATAGCATAGCAATAAGTGTTAAGATCAGGATTTAAAAGTCAAGCCTCCCTGATACTACAACTACAACTCACTCTTCTTTCTTCTTGCATATTTTAAAAATGTTTATTCTGTGTGTGTGTGTGTGTGTGTGTGTGTGTGTGTATGTGTATGTGTGTGTATGTGTGTGTGTGCATGTCTTCATGTGTGCTGGTCCTGGAGCCTTACATCAGGGCTTGGGTATTGTCCCTGAGCTTCATTTGCTCAAGGCTAGCACTCTACCACTTGAGCCACAGCTCCATTTCCATCTTTTTTCTTTGGTGGTTAGTTGGAGATGAGAGTCTAATGGATTATCCTACTCAGGTTGGCATCAAACTGTGATCCTTAGATTTCAGCCTCCTGGGTAGCTAGGATTAAAGGTATAGCCACCAGTGACTGACAAAATGTTTATTCTTTCAAGTTGTTAATACATTCATTTATTTAAAAATGCAAAGTGACACAAATGGTGTACATTCTTTTTCCATCTACCTTCTTCCCTGCTCCACAGGTACAGGTAATTATATTCTTGTGTAACAATGAGGTGTTTTTTTTTTTTCAAGTTGTGGGGCTTGTACTCAGGGCCTGGGCACTGTCCCTGAGCCTCTCTGTGCTCAAGGCTAGCGCTCTACCACTTGAGCCACAGTCCCACTTCTGGATTTTTGAGTAGTTTATTGGAGGTAAGAATCTCATTGGGCTTTTCTGCCTGTGCTGGCTTTAAACCTCGATCCTCAGATCTCATCATTCTGAGTAGCTAGAGTTACAGGAACTACCTGCACCCACCTACAATCAGTATTTTCTTAAGTACACAAAACACACAGAGGCATTTTTATTTTTCCCTCTTTAGTCAATGTATGCTGTACATATTATTCTACATCTTTCTTTGTTTTTTATTTCTCATGGCATCCTAGAGATCCTTATTACTAATTTTAACTCTGGATCTTCCTGCCTTTGCTTCCTAAGCACCGAGTTCACAGGCAAGTGCTACCATGTGCAGCCCATGTTAGTATTTGTTATGCTTATGTTTATAGCTTCAGAGAATTCCATTGTATAGATGTATCATAATTTAATTATCTTTGTACCCACAAATGGTCACTAAATTCTTCCCAAGAACCTATACTTTGAAACTATTCCCAAAAGCAAGAAATAAACACATAAGAAATCTAACCACATTTACTATAAATTCCTTTCCTTAAAAATGGACTACTTTGGAGATAGGAATCTTCTTTATGGTGATACTAGATTTTGAACTCAGGGCCTTGTGCTTGGTGGACAGGTGTGTTCTAACACTTTAGTCACACCCCCAGAACATTTTTTGTTTTACATTTTAGGTAAGCTCATCAGTTTTTACTAGAGCTGATTTCAGATTACAATGATCCCAGTACCTCTGCCTCCGATGGTGCCAGCACACAAGGCCAAGAATTTTCCTTTAAGGTGCTAGTTGATTAGTAAAAAATAAACCCAACATAACTTAAGACATCTAGGTAAAGGATTTAATACTATGTTATTCAAAACTGGCATATTGAATCCTTAACTCTTAAGCTGATGCTATTTGTCATGGGGCCTTCACTGGGAAGTTAGGGAATATGGGTGCAGTATCACAAGTGGATTAGTGCCCAGAGATCTCCTTCTTTGCTTTGCTAGTTGAGAATAGCAGAAACTAGACCCCAGTAGAAGGCCTAGAAAGAAGCGACCTTCAATAGACACTGACTTCTCCATACCTTAACCTTGGCTTCCCAGCATCCAGAGGTAGTCAGAACAGACTAGACAATCAACACCAACAGAAACAATGATCTTCACACAGCCATGTGGGATGCAGGGAGGTCTGTTCCATTCCTACAAGTGTCTATTGAAGGGAGGCCCAGGCATTCAGCATGCACCGAGGTACATGCTGAGATCTGCCTGTTCTTTCTGCTGATTAAGATCTGTAGATAGGAAGACTCAAATACCTACTATGGAACAGAAGGTCATTCCTATGGCAAGTCTCACTCAGTTCCTTTAGCTGGAAGGAACTCAAGTTCTTACTGTAGCAAAACCAGATGCAAATATTTCAAGGCTTCTGTAGTTAGCTTTATAACCACTATTTTTAGCCTTAAAATCATGTGAGTTTTGTTTCCTATATATTATCATTTTTGAGAAACTATTGTATCAATAAGAGACTGGATTTTCTAAAGGATGTCTTATGTAAAATGAGTTTGAGTATTAATATGCAGTAAGAAATGTCACAGAAGCCTGGTATCAGTGGCTCACATTTATAATTCTAGGTACTTAGGAGGGTGAGATCTGAGAATTGTGGCAGAAAAGTCCTGTGAGACTTATCTCTAATTAACCATTCAAGAACTGGAAGTAAAGCTGTGGCTCAAAGTGGTAGAGAACTAACCTTGAGCAAAAATGGTCAGGGACCAGTGTCCAGACCTGAGTTCAAGCCCCATGGCCAAAAAAAAAAGAAAGAAAAAGAAAAAAAGGAAAGGTCAGAGGAGTTTAAACAATATACCTGGAGTTAGAGAACAGTGATCTCTTTTAAAGAGAATGTACAAATGAAAGATGTGCAAGCTATTTACAGCTGAAGGAAGTGCTGACCACGAAATAGGAAAGGCTGAACTTAATATTACCAGAACACAAACATGTACATGGCTTAATAGACTTGAGCACTATCTCAGGAAACATCCTATGTATTATGCATCTGGTGCAACGAAGGCTCAGGAAATGATTTTGTAAAAACACACACAACTCCATGAGCTTCACAGAGGGTGAATAGCTGAGGAAGTCCAGGTATTAAAGAGAAGCTGCTTACGCCTAGATAGAAATCTGCTACTATGGTAGCTTCACAAATTTTCTGATTGTAACTGTAATGTAAACTTGGAAAACAATGAGAAATATAACGAAAACAATTAAAATCATTTACCATTCTACCACCCAGAGAGAGCTACTGAAATATTACATACTTGATTGCAATGTTCTTTCTTTGTACCTTGTGTGTGTGTGTGTGTTGTGCATATATACCTAATTGCAAGTAACATTTCATAAACAGATTCCCCCATTTCTTGAGTCCTTTCTCACATTATATATTCTTGAGGTTATAACTTGAAGGACTGTATCAGGTTGCACCTTGTGAAATTAAGCAGAATGACTTTCCATATTATTGAACCTTTAGGTTTTTTTCAATTGCTTTTCATTTTATAAATAGCACTTTGAATTCTTTGTTGTTGTTATAAATCTTCACATGTCTATCTCTTTATTAAGGGAAGTTAAAAGCATATCATATTGTCATCTTCAAACTTAAATCACTCAGCGTAGCACTACCTAAAGACTCATACGTGGGGGTGCCTCAGTACAAAAGTCAAACAATGCTGAGCAGATAAACAATATTATTTTCATATAGCTCACAGTCTATAATTTATTCCCCTGCAGCAGCCTTCTTTCAGGCAGCACATTATTTCCTCTAGGCAAATGGACTATTACGGGGTTAATCTAAATGCAATAACATGAAAGTCGGCTGACCCAGATTTCTCCAATATCAGTATGCATGCAATTACAATATTCTGCAGATTGAAAAATACCCAAGGCTCTTGAAAACACATATTTTATCAGGCTTTCTTGAAAATACATATTTTAGCATGCTTTTTTAAAAAAAATGATGCACAATGGGCACTAACAGGGAAACAAAGTTTACAGCCAGTGGAAGTTGACTTTGTGTAAACCCAAGTTACATATAATGTAACAAGGTTCTTTTCAAAGTATAGATTTTTCCCTTGCCACTTTATAGCTATAAGACTTCAGTGATCTCAAAATATTGAAGTTATTAATAATTCCTGTTTAGAATTACATGGCCTTAATAGCCCAGATTTAAATTCTCTTTAGTCTACATTTTTAAATTGTTTTATTTTCAAGAGGCAAAATAGGGTGTTCAAGAGGCAAAAAGTATGCATATTTATAATTATATTTACATAAAACACATAAAAATACTTGTCTTCCATTAGCTAATGAAAAGCAAAGTAAAACAAACACAACATAATTTCTACCTATATCACTGTTAACTATGGAATCAGTCAAATTCCAAAGACACCCTCAGCATGTGTGGTTAGATGAAGACAACACAGCTGCACGGTACAGTTTTGCAGACTGTACACTGAACAACTCTAGACGATAAAGTCAAACACTGATTTATATTACTGGCATACTCTGAGGCTGTGAAGTGCATACTCTATATAGCTATAGAGGGTGACCTTATTTATGCATCTCTTTCTCTGTAGTAAACTTTGAAAAAGAAATGTTTTGGGTAGAAAAGGGTCTTTAAATATATATATATATATATATGTATATATGTATATATACATATATGTATATATCTTTTCTTTTTCAACAAAGGGATCTTGCAAGCAAATAGTGACTAAGTCCCCCAACCTCCCACGTGTCACTGTGACAGGCTCTTTGTCTTCCCCTTGGCTCTCCCCCCACCCGCTGGAAGGCAGCAGGGTACCTTGTGTGAGTAACTGCAGGTTTCTGACCTCTTCTCGCACCTTCAGCTGGAGCACCTGTTGTAGGATGTGCTGTCTGAGGTTCTCCTGGGCAAGCCCCATGCGCTCCAGCTTCTTGTCTGTGAGTCTCAACAGGGCTCGTCCTGCAAAGGGGTTAAATGAAAAGCAAAGCAAATGAGCAGTTTGCTGGAGGATTTCCAGCTTGGGCTAACCTTGCTGAATAGAATTTTCCAACTAAGCACCGATGCTTCAGAGCAGGGGGTCTGGCTACAGGGACTGGCAGTCATAATATACAGTTCAAACCCTATGAAATTAGGAAAATGGAGGGGATGGGTGCTGTTGGGAGAATGATGAAAGAGGTAACATGGAACAAGATGCACTATACTCATAAGCTTATATGTCGTATTTATAAGATATTTCTTTGTTGCTTTGTATGTCCCTCCCCCATGGTATACCCCCTGTATTTGATTTCATTGTATTTGATGTTGGTATAATTTGTGGAGGGGAAGGAAAAAACAAATTGTTTAAATAGGGATACAGGTGGACCCATTGCAACAATGAGATGTACAAGTTGTTATGTTGAAAAATGAACTTTACAACTTTGGCGTGGGGGGGGAGGGTAGGGGATGGGAACGGATGGGAAGGGGAAACAAAGAAGGAGGGTACAATGCTTGATAAGAAATGTACTCATTACCTTGCCCATGTAATTGTAACCCCCTCTGTATGGTATTTTCACAATTAAAAAAATAAGCTGATATGTTGCATTGAAACTCCTTTGTACAGCTACCTGAAGATAGTAAAAATATAATAGAAAAAGACTGGATGAAGAGAAGTCACATGTGTAAGAGAACTCTAATTTTTACACAATAGCAATAATCCTAACTTGTCTGTACATGCAGGTAGATAAAACAGCAAATTTCAAATCTGGATATTTGGGTCACAGATTGCAGGTTTCCATAGAAACAATACTCTTCCTAGAGGTGGGTTCTTGAGCGGCCGCAGCAGTCTGTCACTGACAGCCCAGCTGCAGAACCAGATGCACTAACTCTGCTTAGGAAAACCTCAGCAATGCGCAGCCTGAGGTACAAGCATGCTTCTATGAAACACGTATTGAAAGTCTGGCTTGAATCTGCAGCCCTCCACATGTCCACTGTACCACTGGCATTGGACTGGTGTCTATATCCAGCTGTTGAGAACTCTGTTCTTAGCTGAGGATAAGGTGAGTGAAGGAGAAACAAAGTGAACATGGACATCTGGAGAGTACTGAGCAAGGTACACTAGAAGTGAGTGCCTGCAGTGCCACCCACCCAGACACTGGGCAGCCCTGCACCATCTCCTCTCAGCCCCTTTCTTTCCCCTAGAGGCCTGCATGCTTCCCCTCTACTGTGATTCCTATCAAATCCCATAAGTCTCTGCCACTCTGAGCTTGTGCTGGAATAAGCACACATCTGTTTCAATATTAACTATTCAGCTGTTCAAATGTTGTTATCTGAATTGTGAGACTATAGATATTTTACTTTCCATTCCATAGAAAAAGAAGTGGAGAAATGAAAGAATATTTAACATGCAAAAACATTTCCAAACTCTTCCCACTATACCTCCAGTTATGCTTTATCTTCCTTGGCAGAAAAATAAAAGGCTTAATCTTCAGGAGAAGGATCAAGGGTAATGTGCATAGAATTTCCTGATAAATCATCTGGGAAAGATCAGGATTGGGGAATGGGAATCTGGAGTGAAATCCAGTTCACTGGCTTCCATGGTTTCTTCAGTGCCATCAGGCTGGTGCTTTTGCCACTTTTTGAAATAATTAAATCATTTCAGGGAGCAATATCCCATCGATGTCCTTTTTAATTCCTTCTGCTGACTATGCATTAAAAGAAAAGTCCATATAAATAAATGTGCTGCTTTTCATGCAGGCATCAAGTAAGTAGTAAGGAGTCTGTCATCAATTATATCTTTTGTTTTCATTTATAGTGTGGATTTGTGTTGCTTACCATAAAATACATTTTTCCCACAAACATTGAGCATTTACCATATGCATCATATGGGCATAATGATGACCAAGGCACGATGGTCACTCTTGAAGCTTTCCGACTGGCAAAGAAGGTAGCTAATGATGTGTCTACAGGTATGCGATGAATTCTATGTAAGGAGAAATATGAGAGCTCCCCCTGTGATCCAGCAATCCCACACTCCTGGGCATTTACCCAAATGATCACAAACAAGGCCACACTAAAGCTACTAGCACAACTATGTTCATTGCAGCATTATTTACCACAGATAAGATATGGACCAACTCAGATGCCCCTCAGTAGATGAATGGATCAAGAAAATGTGGTATATCTACACAATGGAATTCTATGCCTCCATGAAAAAGAATGACATTGCCCCATTCCTAAGGAAATGGAAAGATTTGGGGAAAAATCACATTAAATGAAGTTAGCCAAACCCAAAGAAACATAGGTTCCATGGCTTCCCTCATTTGTAGCAATTAGTATATATCTAGGATGATCCTAGCAGAGGATCACAATAGCTCAATAGCTATTACATATGCCCATATAAAATGATGCCAATTGAAATGAACTTCAAGATATGGAAACAAGAGGGTTTTGTTGTTTTTAATGTACAGTATGAAGTTCTTTTTTTCCCCCATTTGGTTTATCCCCTTTAGTCACTACTTTTGATCCTGGTACCCCTGGTACTCTATATCTTGTATGTACATTTATCTGATTTGGGGAAGGGAAGGGGAATAAAAAAATGACAAAACAAGGACAAAGGGTGAATGCAACAGCGATACTCAAAAGATGATATGTAGGAAATGAACTTTACAACTTGCAGGGAGGGGAGTTGGGGGAGAGGAAGTGGGAAAAAAAACAAGGGAGGGGTTAACAATGTTCGACAAGAAATGTACTCATGACCTTACTTATGTAACTGTAACCCCTCTGTACATATCCTTTGCAACAAAATAAAATAAAATAAAAAAACCCCAACAAAACAAAGAAATATGGGAGCTCAAAATTGGATGACTTCATGTGGTTTGGGCATTGGGAAGCCATCATATAGTGAACGTCGTTTAATCTAAGACTTAAAGAGCAAGTAAGAATCACAAGAACTAGATAAAGCAAAGATTTTTACAAGAGTCCAGTAACAGTGTGGATGAAGAGGGAGGCTGCTATTGCAGACACACAAGAAAGACAGCACTTGGATGGCTATAACTTTGTCACAAGAGCACGGTGGTTCTGTAACCACTCATTGACACACAGAGAGGATCAAGGGTGAACAATCATCTCCATCTCAAAGCAAAAACCAAATGAGTCTGCTAGTTCCTCAAACTGGTTATAAATGGTAGTTAGGTGATACAGGCAGCTGGGCTCTCAGATTTACAGTGGAGTTGGGAAAAACTCAAAGTCTTTACATCATTAAGACTCCCAATTCTTCTATGTCTTTCCTTTATCAACACTGTGCTGAGCACCATCCTAGGCCTGCCACAAGTCTAAGTGCTGGGGAGATGTGCAGTGTCTTTTGTCCTCCCAGTGCTCCTTGTGCAGTGTGAGGAAGAAGATGTACCAAGACACCAGGGCCTTCTCCAGATATGGAAACCAAGATTTTATGTCAGGTTGAAGTAAGTGCTCTAAGACAAGGCAGGGTGTGGAGCTGGGGGGCCAGGCAGGGACTCCTGACAGGAAGATGATAGATGTTGTGCTTTGGGGGATTAAGAAAGTGAAAAGGTGACACTGGAACCAGAAGTAAATAGGAAGGAATAGAATTGCCAAGGCATTTAGGGGAATGGCTAGTGTCCCCGTGGCAAACAGTACAGGACAAGAGAATAATAGGAAACAGAGTCTGAGAGCAGGCAGGGGCTAGATAATACAGCCCTGTCTACAAATAGATAAGGTTTGAGCAAGGGTAACTTGGGCACAACATCAGGTTAACAGAATCTTTCTGTCACTAGGTGGAAAGTGGATCAGGGGTAGAGGGCTAAGTATAGGGCACTCAGAAGAGTCTGGAAAATACCACAGGAAGCCTAAACAGGAAGTGGTGGTGCCTTAGGACTGGAGAGGAAGAAAAGAGTAAGAACCCTGAATCTATTCTTAGACTTTGTAATGCATACAAGTAGCACATGAAGGAAAAGCAGATCTCAGAGATGATTCAGATTTCTAACCTGACCCACCAATGGCTGGTGGCTCCAGTAGTTAGCAGGAAATGGAGTCACTTCTCCAGGAGAGGATGTGTTGGATGAAGGAAATCAGAGATGTGCTATGTTTTTCCCCTTTTGGGAATACCTGGGATCTGGAGGAACAATGTACAGGATACAGTTAAACAAAAGAGGACAATTAAAATTGTTTCACTTGGTGGTTGGCGTTAAGAAAAAGAAGACCTGAATTCCATCAGAAGTCCTTCCTCAATGCTAGCAATACCACAGAACTTCTTGTGGAGGTCCAGGCCAGGAAATACACAGCCGAACAGTAAGCTGGTACAGCCTGGGAAAGTGAGTTTTGCTGCATCTGAAGATATTACTGTGTATGCCAGCTCCATCACAGTAGCTGGGATGGGCCATGAGGTACTCATACATTCAGTTATTGTTTCTGGATGAGAGAGATATTGAACTTGGTAGATTAGGTAAGTCAGATTCCTTTTAGAGTGGACCAACTTCTGGCTTTTGAGCTAAAAATCCTCATTTGAGCCACCAACATTGTAGATTTCAGACTTAGCAACTTCAATAATCACACAACAGTTTTTCTCTCTCTCTTTCTCTCTCTCTTTTTCCCTCCCTCCCTCTCTCTCTCTCTGTATGGAAACATACACACATATATCACTCTTAGGAAAGTTCAACTGGAATCTTAATGCCTAATAGATGAATAAAAATTACACAGTGAGGGTCAAATAACATATGCACACACCCTTCACAATTCAGAACCACTGTGATAGCTGGGTGCCAAGGCTCTATATTCCTCCGCTTCTTCCTCTTCCTCCTCCTAGCAGTGTGAACAGTTACAGTGTTTGAAACACAGTGCTAAGTACTTCACATGGACGAACTCATTTAAAACAGGTCTCTGAAAGTATTATGACTGATTAAGAGCTATCATAGCTAAAGCTATCTGATTAAGAGCTATCATAGCCACTGTAGAAGTTATGATGCTAA